GGTGTTGTTCTGGGAAAGGATGGCAGTTTTAATCAGGCCTGGCTAGGTTGGCAAGGAGAGTTTTCTAGTGGCTTGCAGTAGTCGTCTGTTGGAAAACAGTGGTGGTGGGGACTTTTTCTGTTATATTTCCAGTCGGTGTGCCGCTGATTCGGTACATTCACGGCCTCTGAAGTTGCCAATGCTCTCATTATCTTTAGAGCGAGTAGTTTCCGGTGGTATCGCTGGCCGTTATTTCAGAGTGTGTTGGAAACGCCAATGTTTGGTATGAGGTGTCGGCTGGAAGGCATTTGTCCGGCTGGCAGTGGCTTGAATGTGCATACCAATGCCTGGTCGCGCAAAGCACTCAAATTGATCAACTCTGTCATCCCTCTGAACAAAAACTTCTCCGCATTCGTTGGTCCTCCGGATGCCGATGGCGTTCATCCAATCCGAGTAAATTTTTCCTCGTTTTTTTGTGACTTCTGAATTCAGCCCGAGCATGGCTGCTGTTGCTGTTGTCATGAATCTTTCAGGTTGTTGTTGACGAGCAAATTTTTCAAACCAGTGATTTGGCCACACTGTTGGTGCAGAAGAAGTTAGCTGCTTATGAATTTGACGATTGCATGACTACTGCAGGGAATCTTTTATTCAGTGGCAGATCACTGCGTTGTCTCGAAGCGAAATTTCTCAACGTCGAAGGGGACATCATCTACGGGCTTCCATACAGTTTTGAAGCGTCGCTTCGCCAGTGCAAAAGTTATCTCGAACAGGTTCTGTTGTTTGTTCATCTCTCAGTTTGCACTTCTGTCACTAGTTCAACAGGGTGAAAGCTTCGGAAGAATGAATTTCCACTGTAAATTATTATCATTTCCTCGTCCACTTCTGCATGTTTGATGTCCTACAGGTCTTTTCCTACTTTTCTCCACTTTTTGTTTCTTGCTTTACCGAATTGGGCTGTCGCGTAATATATCAAGTAACGATTAATGGTTTTTGTTAAAAATAGATTGAAGATCAGCTGCGTTACTATGACGCAGTACCCTTGTCCCTGGTTCAAGCTTTAACCACCCTACCCTCATTGAACTTACAATCTTTGTCCCCTGGGATACAAAAGCACTCCTCCCCATCGCCGGGATCACCATTACCGATCTCCAGCTGCGACTTATGTATAATTAATATTCCTATTCGGGGAGCTCCCCAGAGCCTCACTACCTTTTATGCATTATCCTTTTACTTTACTATGTATAATAAACATGTATATAGGACGCGATGTGTTACACACACACCTACAAACGGGACACACACTAGTCTAATAATCCAACTATTAGGGTCGCGATAGGGCACATATTTCTATCGCTTCAGTTTTTCATCTAATTCTGAGTTCGTCTGCTTCCATATGATCTTTTTTTTTTTTTTTTTCCAAAAGCTTCCATAATGTTGCACTCATGAGTGTTATGGGACTCTTGGAGAGTTGCCCCGTTCTCAACTCTAATCAAATCTCAGTGTAACTTCCAAAAAAAACTTCTGGTTTTGTTTCGGTGTTTTTATTGTTTTGCTTCGACTTCCTCAAATTTTTTCCTATTTTTTGCCTTCGGTAAAATTTGGTGTTGTGACTAGTTGGTCAAGTCTTGTATTGAGAAGCTTCTTATGTAATTATTCAAAGGTTTTAGGCAAACATCACCCTGGCTGAATATCATGGCGAGTCTAAGGCTCTTATTTATCGTAATGGGAGATGTCATCGTGCAATCAAACTGCCTCCCGAACACAACGGGGAGCTTCAAGCGGTATGTCTGCAGTATGGTATTTCAGCAAATTCCAAGTTTGAGACTCTTAACGAGAAATGCGCAGTAAATAAATTAAGGCGTTAGATGGGGACGAAAGCACTTGGGACCCGCTAAGCGTTTCTTTTTTTTGTTGCTTTAACTTTACAGGTGTTAATGTGTGGTGCTGTACTAGCTAGTTATTTTCCAGGATAAATTTTTCCTTGTCGATGAAGGAAGAACTATAAAATTGGTTGAGAAACATGGGACATCTTTCGTTGTCAGCCTTTCTGCTGTAAAAGGTACTTGTTTTTCAGATAATGCAAGCTTGCATGGTTTGTTCTGCAAGTTTTCTCAACGAATACTGATTTTGGTTTCAGATCCTCAAGCGGCTTTCTTTTTGCGTATGTGTCCAGCACTTGCTGTCGGCTTTTTCCTCAACAACCGAAAATTGGCACCCAAAGCAATAACATACTTGAAAAGTGTTTATACGGAAATGGAAAATATCTTTTTCGTTGCCTGTGTTAGAGATGTCATCAGAGTAAGAGTTACATCCAATTTTTTTTTAAAATCTTTTGAAATCTTGTTACTTTTATCTGATGATGTTTATCGTTCTTTCGTAGTGATGCAGTTCCACGTTACTGGTGCAACTGCTGATAGCCTTTCCATGTTTGATATGAACAAAAATTCATCACTTTTGGTCGTACTCGCTTTTACTTTCCTGCATTTCTGCTGTATCGCATTATGTCCACTGCTTGGTTTTTCACTTTTTTTCCCCATTAGCCGTCCTCTGCACAATTTCCATAAAAGCCATTACCCATGGAAGGAGGCTTGGCAGGAATTAATTGCTTACAGTTCCCCGTAGGATCCTCATTCGACTATCAGAACATCGAGAATTGCATTGCTTGGCGACTCTGTGATCCTCACTGTGCCGGTACTTCCACGAAATCCGGGCAGATGCATATGCTGTTACGTAGTAGTGGGGACTGGGTGAACAGCGTTGTAAGGCTGTGAAGCTAACAGAGACGAATTCCTTGTTGGTTGCAGTGCTAATCTTTTGTAGGGATTTGTTGTCAGCTGGTTCTTATGCTTTTTCGCAGCAGCAACGGCGTATAAAACTCGTGTTTTTGAAACACTATATGTGCGTAATTTGTGTATGTGTTTATATTTGTGTGTCTGTATGTGTGTATATGTGTGTATGTGTGTGTGTGTGTGTGCGTGTGTATGTGTGTGTGTATGTGTATCCGGGTTTTCAACTCTACAAGCAAAACATCTAGGTAGCTGGATTTTTAACTTACGGATTCTGAGCGTACGTGGTTGTAAAGGTTCTGGCGGGCAGAGAGTTTTTAGTTCAGGGGCTAGAACCTCCCACTTACTCATAAGCTTCAGACACACGGCGTCTGGAATTTTTTTCGGGAAAATTTCTAACTTAGGAACCAGGAAAGTCAGGAAGCTGAAGCTTAAGGTGGACGTCCCCTGTCATTGTGCAACTGTGGATTTCCAAATTTAGCTACCATTTACATCTGTTTCTCATGGAGGGGCCTGTGAAAGGCTTAAGCGGGGAGAAGTTGGTATGTTTCTATCTCTGAGAACAGGCAGGATGAGAAACTGGAATCTTGAGATGGTGTTTCCTGTTTATTCTCATTCTGGGAACTTAAATTGGCTTCTGCTTACGCCTACTTCTTTTGTAATTTCATCTTTCATGTGTAAAGCATGGACACATGAAAAGTGAAATTGTAAAGGCATTCCCACCATTCCATTTCGGGGACTGAACAAGACAGGAAGCTGAAATTTTATGTTTCCTGGTGTGTATGATACTGAAAGTTTAGCTTTGGCTTCTTCGCAGACTAAAGTCTTACCTACAGGTACATGAAATTTTGATGGCAATTTTTCTAATTCCGAAACTAGGCAATATTTGGATTTTTATGCGTTTTTGCATTTAAAGAGGCCGTTAGACAGAATTACACAAAGTGAATTACCGTATTGGCTGCCCTGGCACACACCGCTTCTTTTTTTGTCTTGTTTGGGTCACTGGTACTTGTCCAGTCAAAAGGTGATGGTCTGAGCTTTTGGGTGGGTGCTGTAAACGCTGCCACTATTAATCAATAGTTTGAGCTTTGCCATATATACATGCGCGGTGCCTATAGATGTTTTTATAATTTGCGAATTCAAATAGGTTTTACGAATTTGTTAACAGTGTTTGCTGGCAAGTGCTGTCCAAAGTGCACTGTGAATAATTGCAGAATGGCGTATGTATAATCGATGAACTGAAATTCGCCGATGATGTTTCACCGCGAAATTTGCAGTCTGCATCGAGAACGGTAGCCAGCGGTAATGCTTCGTCGCAGGTGAGCATTTATCAGACTATTGCTTTATGTATCCCTTTTTTATAAGCTGAGAAGGCTGTTTTCGTAGGCACAGTATTCCAGTTTCGTCTAGATAAATCTTTACAAAATCAGCATAACCCATTGTGATAAATAATATCAGCTTCTAAATGTTTTAAAAAAGGCGTTTTTAGGTTTTTATGGCCAGCTAGTTCTTACGGCCGATTAGTTCTGAAAATATCTCACCAAAAACTTCTCAAATGGTTGTATGAAAATGCAATATTCGTCCTTCTTTTTCGGAAATTTTCTCGCTTTGCCAAATGCCTTTGCAGTAATTCACAACTATGAATTTTCAGTTCGCCTTTCCTTTTACCTTTCACTTGCGGCTAATCGCACTCGTGTATATTGCGCTGCCATCCTTAAAGATTGTAATTTTTTCCATGCCTTCCTAGCCCTTCCTTCAGAAGAACGACGTACAGGATGTTACTGCTACCTTATGAGAAATTAAAACCTAATTAAAAAGGCATTTTGCTCCGTTTGCTTAAAAATGGTGGGCGTCGTGTATTAGTGGGTGGTATTCGCTAGAAAGTAAAGGACCATCCGATGATCTTCCGGAAAATTCGCAGTTACACATGAAGCGAATAACGAGTACTAACTGGAGGTATGCAGCACAGGACTGAAAAGTTTGGCACGGTTTCTTTGGCTTACGGGGCTACCTATGTGGAATTTTCAAACTGATTTCCGGGTGTTTTGATATTCTTGGTGGTTAGTATTTTTTAAAATATTTTGTCCATCTGCAACTTAACGAAAAAGTGTAATCAAGGTAGTGGCAGTAATCTGCCCAGTTGCTGCTAACCGTCTGACATTCGATCTGCATTTGTGGTTTTTGCAGGAGAAGGTCGGCAAGCAGGGTAATTGCAAAAACAGTGAAGTGGAACATTCTGGAGCTTCCTCCTGCGGCATAGCGGATTTCAAAAAAGAATAAGGTGATCTGCATTATGCCTGAGTTTTTATCTCTTATTTTTTCAAATATGAATTGGTTTCAGTAACGTCTTCGGTGCTAAATTTACGGAAGCTGAAAATTTGACGTTTTTGTGACTCTAAAACGATAAGTGGAGGATGTTTCGGAAAACTGCACCCACTTTTCAGCTTAAAGAAGTGTATTATTTTAAAAAAGGTGCAGGTGAATATGTACAATGCATTTGTTGCTGAAATAATCCGTAGTCAACATTCCTTCCTTCAGTTTTTATGCTTTTTCGTTTCGTTGATGGAAAAAAGCGTATTGTAGAGAGATAGTCTTTTTATGTGTGCGCATATACGCGTGTATATGTATACTTATGTACGTACATGTTTGCGTGTATATGTGTTTGCATGTGCGCATATCGGTGTGTATCTACATATGTTGTTTTCTAAATCTGTAAAATCTATGAAGTTGAGGTTTTGGCAGTTTAGCTGCCGATGAATCCCAGAACTAAAATAAGCGTTCTCGTCCTGTTACTTTTCAGACACATTTAATGGCAGGAAACGATTTTGGGGATAAATTGAGCTGGAGCGCTAAAGTTTTGTGAGAATATTCCCTGCATGTAAAACTTAAAAAATTTAAGTTTTACTCCTACTGCACAGTTCAGATTTAAATTGTGGCAGTGTTACCCTGTCCCCAGCTCGGGAGCCAGACGGGAAGGTTGCAATTTTAAGAGGACTGTTGCTGCCCATTTGGGGATCCGCACGCCGCAAATAAATTTATACTTACGGCTGCTGCTGTCCGTTTTCAAACACGTCACAGTTTGATTTGCATCAACATCCGTACATCTAGAAAACCAGACATATTTGGGAATTGAAGTTTTACGAGGAGACCTGTCCGTTTGCGGTTGCAAAATCACAGGTTAGACTTTCAACCACTGATTGCCATACACGAGACTTCCATTTTATTTGCACGAGACTTCAATTTTCTGGCACTTTTCCAACTCGACAGCCTGCCAGGTTGGGGGAACCGTACTTACCATAAATATTTCTTGTCAATCTGCAAGTCTACAAGCACAGAATTTACTTCTCTTTGTCACCCTCACTTGTTTGCGGACTGGTCAAGCAGATATTTTGCGAAATTGTTGTCACCCTCCCCCATGGTAATCAGACATGTTAGAAGGCTGAAATTTCACAAGCTGTATAGTGCAGCGCCGCTGACGCACTGGTTGGCCCTCTCTTCTGAAGTGGAAGAAACGACCAGCAAGAGCGCATCCAAAATAAATGCATATTGCCAATTTTTGAATCAGTTAACTCGCCTGCTGTTAGCGATCTCAGTGGTGCACGAAACCGTGGGAAACACATGATCGTATTGGCAGCCTGAGTACTCGCCACTAATTATGTTTTTTTATACGCATTTGCCGTCTACGAGTTGGTTGACAAGCCGGTTGATATGCAACGCTCACATTTTTACTAATTTTTATTTCGTTCACTTTTTGTAAGCCTTCTATAATTCCGCATGTATATTTGTCCTTTTTCTTCATTGTTAAGTTTACAGAGTTTTCTATTTTTTTTAAACCGGGCCATATTACTATTTCGAGAGTGAACTTTGCCCTGTGCAATTTCTCTATGG